CAGAGCTGGGAGGGAGCTGAGAACCTGGAATGTCAGAGCTGGGAGGGGCCTTAGAATAGGGAAGGTCAGAGCTGGGAGGGAGCTTAGAACAGGGAAGGTCAGAACTAGGGTAGGCCAAAGAACACAGAACAATCTGAGCTGAGTACCTTTCCTAGAACATGTAAAAAGCTCTGACGCTTTATTTGTTCAAAACGGGTATGACTCTAGCAAGGTAGTGAGTTCCGTCTTCCTGGAGGTGTTCCAGGAGAAGTTGGATAAAAACTTGTTGAGTAAGTTACAGAGACCTTTCCTCAAAGTTTGGCCTTGGTGGCTTCAGCCCATCCTTCCAACCCTGGCTTCTTGTAACTCCGCTCTTCCTTCCCCTGTCCCATTACTGTCTAGAAACCAGCACAGATAGCGCCGCCCCAGCCCAGCCTGGTGCCCATTCCCTTCCGTACAGCCCCCCCCCAACTCAACAATGATTCCTTCTTGGGAAAACCTCTTACAGTCATAGGCACACACAGTAAGCACACAGGTCATTTCTTTGCCATCAGAAAAAGGCCATTGCATGGTGCAAGAGCCAGAACCCAGGCCCAGAACTCCAGATACCTGGGTTCCAAACCCAACTCTGCCACTAACTTATTGTGTGACCGTGGGCGAGTCACAGGATCAGAGATTCAGATCTTAGAGGGGACTTAGAGATCAAGTTCCCTCATTTTATAGAAGAAGAAACTGAGGTATGAGGCAGTGCTAGATAGTGGAAAGAACACTGGCTCTAGAGTCGGAGAACCTGGGTTAAAATTTTACTTCTAATGCTTACTGCTTGTGTGACCTTGGGCAAGTCATTTCCTGGAGCCTCATTTTCCTCATTTTTAAAGTGTGGGGAGGGGGAGAGACGAAGGTGGATCAGGTGGCCTCAGAGATCCTTTCTAGTTCCAGTTCTAGGATTCCTTTGAGCCCATAGGAGGCATGGGACTTGTCCAAGGTCACATGACTGGGAGGGACAGATCCATGGTTTGAATCCCAGGCTTGAGTTCAAGTTTTTCATTTGTCCCACTGCACCAGGCTGACTCCCTATTGACCACCCCCTTTCTGAGCCTCTGTTTCCTCGTCTGCAGAGGGGAGGCTGCAGCCAGTCATCTCTGGTGTTCCTTCTCTCTCTACCAAGCCATGGACTGAGGCTTTCTCTTGTTGGCATCTTACGCAGGAGATGATGCAGGACAAGCCCATCAAACAAGTCCTCCTCCAGGTTTTGGACCACTATGTGTTCCCGAAAAAGGCTGCTATTGATCCACTCCATCAAGGCCTGCCACACAAACAAGACAGAATCACTGAGTTTTAGTGCTGGAGGGGCCCTGAGAGATTATCCCCCCTCCCCCAGCTGGGAGGCTGACCCAGACCCAAGGGGTCATCTGAGTATGAGTGGAGCCTTTCCCCTTCCCCATAGCCTGCCCCAAGCATCTCTCTAATGTCCTCTCCCGGTTGGTGGAGAGCCACAGCGATGGGGCAGATGCTGGGTACAGCTTAGGGACTCCTGGGCCTGGTCATCTTCCCTACAGCTGGACCGTTAGGACTTCGGTAAAGCCTCACGCAAAATCTGCAGGCAGGGAGTAGAATAGGAATTTTGGGAAAAGGCAGGAGCTGAGCGTTCATGAATAATGTCACGTGAAAGGAAGTCATTTACACAAGTAAATGTGACACAAGGTGATAAAAATGAGGACTAAAATTAATAGTAACACTAGAACTTTCATCTCCACAGCACTTCCCTGCTCTATTGCTGGTGCCTTCCCTCAGACACAGCTTTCCATCTCCTCTGTTACCTGTCCTTTCCTCACTAGAATATGAGCTCCTTGTGGGAGGAAACCATTGATTTTCTGTTTCTTTGCATTCCCAGTACTTAGAATGGTGCCTGGCACATAGTAAGCACTTAATAAATACTTACTTACTGGCTAATTAACTGGCAGCCCTGAGAGGTTGGGAAGGTGAATATCGTTATCATCTTTTTAGGTCCAGCAAACCCCCCAGGGTCACACAACCAGTAAGCGTCAGGGCTAGGATTTAACCTCAGTTCATTTGACTCCAGATGAAGCGTTCTTTGAATAACACTGCTCTACCACTGAGGAATGTGAAGCAGTGCCCCCAGCAACAGGTGGAGGAACACGAAGCCTGGACTTTATCTTGCACTGTTACCAGAAGAGATTCCAAAATGGCAGGCCTGATGGGAAAGGGAGTTGCTTGTGCAGTGACCCCAAATTCATTTTCCTTCTAAGAGGAGCTAAAACCCCAGCAAAGCTGTGAATCTAAAGGACTACATGGTGTTCTAGGGAAAGGTCAATCCGTGAGCATTTATGAAGCACCTACTATGTGTCAGGCACTGTGCTAACCACTGGAAAGAGAATGGCATATCTTGTTTATAGGCTATTGTGAGTCCTTAATGTGTTTTCTGCATTTTCCGTGGTGACAAAATAAAAGCTGTCTGGTACCTAATATATTTGGGTTACCTGGAGTATTTTTTTCCCATGACAACTTGGAAGAATTTATTTTTTTCTTGTGATTTCTTGTCGGATTTTTACGAATTATCTTACATTGATTTTCTTTATTCACTTTCTGTTACATTTCGAATTCTGAGTTGTGTCCTTCTCTCCCTCCCAACTCTGCATTAGAGAAGGCTACCTTGAGTATTCGTACAGGATCTGGAGACTCCTTTGCCTACATATGTAGAGACCTAAACATAAGTTGCATTCTGAGGTTTCCCAGAAGTATCAGTGGATAGGATGAAATGAGAAAAGGAAAGTGATTTGGGGGAGAATAACTCCAAGAGTGAACGGATCGATACAAGCTCAGGACTGGTTCTGGACCATGGGTCATTCTGAGAGAAATATAAGTAAGAAAAGGTCACTTTCAGCTGGGGGATGGGGACTTCCTAGAGGACATAGAAGGGGAGCTGGGCTTGGAGAGAAGAGATGGAAACTAATAGGTAGAGATGGGGGGGGCAGCATTCCATGCATCCAGATTTGGTCAAACTGCCTTGTCCCTCTAGAGGCTGGGAGGGGGGGGAAGCTTCTTGGACTCCAGCGTAAAGAAAAGGAAAAGAAAAACAGTTCCAAGGAATAAGATGATCTGAATTTGGGACTCACGCCTGCATCTCGCTACTTCAGCAAATCTGACCGCGGGGAAGAATTCATTAGTTCTGCCATGACTCATTCCCAGCTGCCCAGAATGCTTCTCTCCCTTCTAATCATCTTCGTCTTTGCAAGGGGAGGCAATGCTACAGATGGGGAAAAGCTACAGGGAGGCAGCCTTCAGCTCAAAATAAGAGGGGGTAGGGTGGGATCTCATCACAGTTAGAACTGCCTGAGACTGAAACAGGTTGCCTTGGATAGGGAGTGAGCTCCCCATCTCTAGAGGTGACTGGGTAGGTGACAGGTCAAAGATGCTAAAGAGGGGAGTTATGCTTCACCCAGGAGATGGAAGAGAATTGCCTTTGTGAGCCCTTCCAGCTCTGAGAAGCTATGATTCTGTGAAATAGAATCCCTGCCTATCTAGCCAAAAAAAGAACAAAGTTAGTCTTTTTCCCCATGGAGGAAATCGATTCAGCTTCATTCAATTCAGCAAACATTTATTAAATACCTACTAAGTGCCAGGCATGGGGGATACAAGGATAAGAATGAAACCATCCCTGCCCTCGAGTAGCTTATATTCTCTTGGGAAAAACAGCACATAATTAAGTAACCACAAAGCATATAAGATTTACCGGTTGTGCAGCTACAATGCTGGTCCCAAGTGATTCTCTTGTCCACCCTTTCCCCTACCCTACTCCCCCACCAAATTTCCTGAGCAGCTATTCAAACATTCCCTGGTGGAGAAAAAACCAGTGAGAGAGAATACTCCACTATACCAATGGATCGGCCATCTCACTGATTTGATGTTTCCTCCAAAGAAGCACATCACCACCCACCTGTGCCCACCCATCCTCCATGACTCTTGCCCATGTCCTGCCATAAATTCGCCACCAATAAACATTTATTAAATGCCTACTATGTGTCAGGCATTGTGTTAAGCACTGGGGACACAAAAAGAGGCAAAAGACAGTTCCTGCCCTCAAGAAGCTTGAAGTTTAATGGGGTAGACAGCATGCAAACTAATATGTCCAAACAGACTACCTACAGGTTGGCTGGCTGTTGTCAAAGAGGACCAAGGTGACATCACTACACCAGAGTCAAGTTACAGCGTATCCGACTGTGGTGGGCCAGACCAATAGGAGCTCGGAATGCTCTACCACAGGACCACAAATAGGCTGTGTGAACATTTGGGGCGGTTTCTCTAAATCTGCACATCCTGCATTTCCTTTGGGCTGTTTCAATTCTGTTTTGCTCATAGAGGACGGCACCTTCTCTGATGTGGGCGCATCATGCTAAGAAGTGCTGTGCCAAACTAAATAAGAAATAATTAACAGGGAAAAGGCACTAGAATTGAGAGGGGTTTGGAAAAGCTAGAGGGCAGGTAGGGGGTACAATGGATAGAGTGCTGGGCCTAGAGTCAGGAAGACCCAAGTTCAAATCTGGCCTCAGATACATCCTAGTTGTGTCACCCTGGGCAAGTCACTTAACGCTGTTTGCCTCAGTTTCCTCATCTGTAAAATGAGCCGGAGAAGGAAATGGCAAATTATTCCAGTATCTTTGCCAAGGAAACCCCAAATGGGGTCACAGAGAGTTAGAAATAACTGAACAACCACAATAAGGAAAGGCTTCCCGAGAAGGTGGGATTTTAGATGAGACTCGAAGGAAGCCGGGAAAGTCAAAAAGCAGAGATGAGGAGGGACAGCATTCCAGGCGTGGGGGACAGTCAGAGGAAATGCCCCGAGCTCAGAGAGAGAGGGTCTTGTACTTGGAACAGCCAGGAGGTTGGTGTCACTGGATGGAAGAGTATGTGTTTGGGGGTAAGGTGTCAGAAGACTGGAAAGGGAGGAGGGGGCTGGGTTATGGAGAGCTTTGAATGCCAAACAAGATTTTGGACTTGATCTTGGAGGTGATAAGGAGCCACTGGAGGTTACTGACTAGGGAAGTGACGGAGTAGGACTTGTGCCTCAGGAAAATCACCACTCTATAATTTCTGGTAACATGCCACCTCCTGCTCACATCTGCCATATGCCTCTCTGTTGCCTCATGGGTTATATTCCATCTCAATTCTTCAAAGACTGTCATGTCTTGATAGGCCTTTGACAATGCCAGAAGACATTGGTATCAAAGAGATTGGCCTCTATTTCCAGCACAAGCAGGAGGTCATTGAAAGAAGTTGACCATTTCCCAAAGGTAATCCAACTCGCCCTCCTCAATTCTGGGACCAGTCTATTGTCAATGGGCATCATTTGAGATAAAGATACTACTGATGGGGGCAGCTAGGTGGTGCAGTGGATAGAGCACCAGCCCTGAAGTCAGGAGGACCTGAGTTCAAATCCGGCCTCAGACCAAACACTTGACACATTTACTAGCTGTGTGACCCTGGGCAAGTCACTTAACCCCAATTACCCAAAAAAAAAAAAAAAAGATACTACTGATGGACCAGTTCTATGAGATGTCCATCTCATTGTCTAGACAAGAAAACTTCTTCATCCACTTGGTTTTTCCCATGTGGATGAAGAATTAGCACAGAGTCTTTTGAGTGATTATGGATCTCCTTTCTAAGATTCTGCAGCAACAAACAGAACCATGCTCTGTGAGTTCCTGATTTATTAGTTCCTTATTTATTTATCAAAATGTGAAACAGGGAGATCAACATTCACCAAAGACATTCTCCACAGCCATGGAGAAGGGTCAGGACATAGACCAAGTCATGGAGGGATTCCTTGTTAACGTTGGGGTCTCCAGATATTCCTGTTTATGGGTGACACTGAGCTAATTCCATTGAGCCCCAAATCAGATTGGAAAAGCCATGTTTCAATAGGAGTGTTTGGTGGACCAGTGGATAGAGTAAAAGACTTTGGAATCAGGAAGACTTGAGTTTAAATCCTGCCTCAGATATTTACCAGGTGAGTGATACTGGGGAGGTCACTTAACCTCTCATAGCTTCAGTTTTATCATCTGTAAAATGGAAATAATAATAGCACCCACCTCCCAGGACTATTGTAAGGATCAAATGATTTAACATTTGTAGAATGCTTTGCAAGCCTCTAAATACTATAGAAATCATTGGAATTGAACGTGAGAGACTTATACTGGACTCTAGCTTCTGACCAGCAGTAACTGCCTGCCTCTGGGCAAGTCACTTGACTGCCTGAGTCTCAATTTCTTCATCTGCAAAATAGAAATAACATCTGTAGCATCTACTGCGTGATACCATTGCAAGAATCAGAGGAGATGATGGAGAGAAAGTATTCAGCAAACCTAAAAGCACCATCAGATTGATTATTGTTGTTGTTATGTGGGGAGGCCAGAGAAGAACAGCGCAATCTCTTAGCAAGAACCTTAACTATTCAGCCCAAAGACTGGAGATCAGGTGCTGTCTCAGTCAAATATTGCCAGTATGTGACCTCAGGAAAAGTCCTTTCCTCTCTCTAGACCTCACTTTCTTCCGGTGTAATGTTGAGAGCATTCTATTAGAAGATATCTAAGGCCCCTGCCAGCTCTGACATCCCCTGTTCTAAGGCCCCTCCAGCTTTGCCATCCCTTGTTCTAAGGCCTCTTCAGCTTTAATCTTCCCTATTCTTCGGCCCCTCCCAGACCTCCCAGTTCTATAGGTCTGGGATGTACCAGGATTTGGAGACCTCACTGAAGGAACAATCGTGAATGGAAGATCAGTAGAAAAAGATTAAGAAACTCGGTCGTGTGTCATAACAGTGTGGGACCAGGAGGGACCTCAAAGGTCAATTTGTTCGGCCCCTTCACTTGACAGGTGAGGAAGCTGAGCCCCTTAAGGTGAACTTAAGTGACCTGGTCAGGGTCACCAGCCTAGTTAGTGGCAGGGGTGTGACTTGAACCCAGATCCTTGGCCTATGCATCCTTCATTCCATTGCTCTACAATGCCTATGTTGCTTCCCAATTTAGGGGGTTTTCCAGGAGGCTTCAGCCCATCTCCTGTGAATTCCACTTAATTAAGTGTTTGGTCAACATTGAAACTGTTTACTCTCCTTCTGAAGGAGAGGTAGAGATAGCTCATAAGCCTAAAATACACAATTATCTCCTTCCCACTTATCCCGTAGGGAAAATACAGGTCAGAGAAATAAGACTCAAGAATCCCCACAGCTCACAACTCTCCAGAAGATTAGGACTTCCACGGACTTTTAGGACTGACACTTTCTTCTTAGGCAGCCCTTTAGAAATCAGCAATGTACATAGACCCACTCTACAGGTGAGGAAACTGAGACCCACAGACAGGAAGTCATACAGCTAAGAAGTGGCGGGGCCAAGTCTCCTGATTCTAAATCTTCAGCGTCATAAGATCATGGAAGCCAAGAAAGGGAGGGATGAACTCTGTTTAGACTGGTGTTTCAGTGTGAGACTTTTTATGCATCACACAGAAAAAGAGGCAAGAGAACTGTGGACTTTGCTTCAAAAGCTTTCATTTTTTCTGCATCTGAGACCTTGAGGATTATCCTACCATCATCTTATCAACTTAGAGTTTTAAATGCTTAAAATAAAATAATAAAAAACCAGAATCTCAGATTCATATGAGGTAGTGAGTTCTCCATCACTAGAAGTGTTCAAGAAAAGCACAGATGACTGCCTATCAGAGACATTACATGACGAGAATTTGAGGTACCATGGTAGGCTGGTGAGAGATATTTGAGAATGGAATAAGAAGCAATCCGTCCTTCTAGGCCCAAGTCAAGATTTACCTCCTCTATAGAAACCTTCCCTGATTACTACAGCCCATGTGATAAACCCAGCCCTGGTGGGGGAAAAGCAAATTAAAGGAAATAAATTGTACCTTTTGTAGCTCTTTGAATTTCGGGTTCTTTTGAGAATCAGGCTGTAAATATTTCTTCTTTTCTCCTGTAAATAAAAATATGCATTAAATGTGACAGATGTTGTCAGACCTCAGTTCTGGGGCCATTTCTGCCACTAACTCATCGTGGGACCTTGAGTAAGTCCCTTATCTCCTCAGGAATGCAGCTGTGTCTGGCTTTCATTTGCGAACTGAAGGGGCTGAACTATATATAATGGAAAACAACTTAGAAAGTGGAACTTTGGTCATAATGATCATGTGTATGACCCTGAAAGGTACTACTATCTAAACCAGGGGTGGGGAACCTGTGACCTCGGGGCCACATGTGGCCCTCTAGGTCCTCGGATGCAGCTAAGCAGATTCAGTCAAAGGACCGCACTTGAGGACCTAGAGGGCCACATGTGGCCTCAAGGAGGCAGGTTCCCCACCCCTGACTCCAAACCCATCCTGGACACAGAAGGGCAAGATAAGGAAACCAGACAACTCCCCCCTTCACTCCTGAGTCAGCTCTTCACAATAAAGCATCCGGAGGCTGAATTGGGAGCTCAATATTCAGGCAGAACATGGCGTCGATGAGGAGCTCCACCTTTCTAGACATCCAGGAAGGCCATGGTGCCACGTTTGCCTAGGGCTGACCTTGAAGTCCCAAGACCTGAGTTCAGCTTCCTACTGGCATGACCTTAGACAAATCACCTCCGTGTCTGTTTCCTTATGTGGAAAGTGAGAGGGTTGGACCAGATTGATCAGGAAGCATTTATGAGGTATCTGCTGTATATCAGGCACAGTTCTAGGTGCTACAGATACAAACACAAAACATGAAGTGATCCCTGCCCTCAGAAAGTTTACATTCTAACAAGAGAGCTGACAAGTAGTGATATAAGTACATACAGAATCAATACAAATCCGTACGATGACGTAGTTAGACTCTAGGTAGTTTGGGAGGGAGGGAACTGAGAAAGGCTTCAGGTAGAACAGAGGTGTCAAAATTGAGACCCACAGGCCCAAAACTCCCCAGTGTGGGCCAACCAGATTAAAATGTTATTGGGAAATGTTTAACAAAACAAATAAAAATTCCATAGGACACAGATAATGTCAATTTGTGGTTTTCTAAGTCAATATTCAGCCCGAAAGGGTCCTTTTCTACACTGATGCAGAAGGTGGGGCTGTGGCTGCCATCTTGAAGAAAGGGAAGGATGAGATGGGGCATGGGAGGAGGGAGGACATTCCAGGCACAAGAGGAAGGAGGGAGTGTCATGCATGAGGAACTGGGAGAAGGCCAGTTTGGTCTGACCCATAAGTTGCCAACCACTCCTAGATCCATGGACCTATCATTTACTGCAGGACAGCAGGGCATAATGGATGGAGAGCTGGGCTCAGTCAGGAAGGCTGGGGTTCAAGCCCCACTCTGGACACCTCTCTAGAACTAGAAGTCATAGAGGAGGTGCTGCCTGCACCAGTGGAAGGAGCATGCTCATCTGGGAGTGCCCTACATGAGAGAAATCTAGGGTCCAGGCCCCATCCCTATTCCCTCTGATGGGCTAGAGGGCAGCTGATAAGTTCCTGCCATATCTCGCTAATGAGTCTGTTTCTTGGAAGGTGGAGGAAGTGATGAAGAAGCCTCCATACTGAGCCTCACTCTGACCAACAAGGAAATGAAAGATTGCTCAAGAAGAGCCAGAGCCTCGGGAGGAAGTGATGCTTCAGCCGAGAGTTGGTGAGGGAGGGGGAGGGGAAGCCAGGGCAGGGCCTAAAGGGACCTCCAAGTAATGCAACATCAGGTAGAAATGGCTCCGGATTATGTGGCCTTTTATAGATCATGAAGCACATTCTTCACCCTTCGAGGCAGGTCTTACAAGTATAGATTAAGAAACCAAGGTTTAAAAAGGTTAAGTGACTGGCCCAGGGTCAGATCTAGGGCTCAGACCCAAGTATTTGGGCGCTGAGTTCTGTGTTCTATCCACTCTACCCAGTGAGGAAAGAGGCGGTCACTGTGGAGAGGCATAGCTTTATCAAGAAGATGTCATGCTAGACTACATGCTTGTTCTGTGTTCTATGGTACTTTCCAGCCCTGACATCCCCTGTTCTGAGGCCCCTCCTAGCTCTTCCATCCCCTGTTCTGAGGCCAAGCTCTGATGTCTCACGTTCTAAGGTCCCTCCTAGTTCTGCCATGCCCTGTTCTGAGGTCCCTC